GTACCTTAAACAATTTCCAATTTAAAGCAATAAAGTTTTTTTGCAGCCATTAGCATAGTAGAAATTAATTCTTCGTTCTGTTTAGACAGCTTCAGACCTGGCCAAAAATATAATAAAAGGGATGCAGGTGTATTTGGAATCTCATAATTAGTTATTTTCTTTATTTCAGCAATGACCGTAGTCCAAAACTTTTTAGATTTTGATTGATCATTTGGAGAAAATGTCCTAACAGCAGTCAGTGTTCCCTCTGAGCTGAGTTAGTATGAGCTAGCTCACAATTTTTAGCCTCCAGTTCACAGATATTTGTCTTCGCTCAGGAAGGACAGTTCGAGAGCAAACTAATGTATACAGCAGCCAAATCGTTCACTCACAACTTTAATGCCGGGAACTCACAAAGTAGAATTTTTGCTCACAAGACTCCACAGCTTAGAGGGAGCATTGACAGTAGGGGCAGTATGATAATGGAACTAAATACCTTCAGTCTTATCTGCCTTGAGAAAGGCAGGCTATAAATGAAATACTAAGGCCCTGTTCACACGGAGGATTTGCCACGGTAAAGGCACGAATGGCAGGCGGATTATTCGGGGGGCACACCGCAACATCTGGGAAGCGTAGTGCACCCATGGGCAACCCATGCCATCCCACTGAAGATGCACAGTAAAAAAACTACCTAGGCAAGGGCAGGCGTCTGATCGTGGGAGTGCTAGTATCCCGTGGCTTCCGGCGCCCATCCGAGTCCCGTCGCAAACCAGATGGTTTCCATAAGCGCATGCGCACAAACACTAAACTGGAAGCAGTGCTGCTCCGCGGAACTGCACATGCGCACAAACACAGAACACTTGCCGTGCGGCTTCTTTGCCAGCTCCAGCGAGCTTCCTGCCACAGCGTGAAGACTCGGGAGACCGTGTGATTGAGCTAATGAGCTTTATTGTGTGATCGAGCTAACGCGCTTTATTTTGCCCTGGGGCAAATAGCCACGCCTCACCCCCACATTATCTGGCCTGTGTGACCGGGGCCTAAATAAGTACCTCGTGGTAGGTGGGGGAGTTGTCTTTTCTTGGAGGTCTCCAAGCAGAAAATGGATAGCCATCCGTTGGGAACGTTTTAACTTTGGCTCCTTGTAGTGAGTAGAGGGTTGGAGCAGACAACCAGCAAAGACCATTCCAGTTCTATGGCTCTATGGGGTTTCTTTTCCTCTTGGAATGCCATAAGAACATAAGAACATAAGAGATGCCAATGTTGGATCAGGCCAAAGGCCCATCTAGTCCAACACTCTGTCACACAGTGGCCAGAAATACCAGGTGCCCTCAGGAGGTCCACCAGTGGAGCCAGGACATTAGAAGCCCTCCCACTGTTGCCCCCCCCCCAAGCACCAAGAAGACAGAGCATCCTTTGCCCCAGAGCCCCTATCTATACCTTGTGGCTAATAGCCAGAGGTCATTTCGGGGGGGATCGCGGGGGATTGCAGTTCCCCCGGGTGAGGTACAAGTTCCCCCGGGTGAGGTACGGGGGGCGGGGCACATGACGAAGCCCGGCCCCCTGCTTCCAGCTGCCCTGCTTCCGGCCCTCATTCAGCCAGGAGGAGGCAGGAGAAGAGGGAGGGTAAGTTGCTTCCTCCCTGCCTCTCCCCACCCCTGCCTGCCTGGGGCCAGGGAGGGCCTTCGCGGGGCTTCCTCGCACTCCCGCCGGCCTTGCAGGTCCACCGCCGGGCCCCTCATGGGGTGATGTCAGGGGGTGTGGCATATGCTAATGAGTTATGCTAATGAGTTCCCCTAGCTCTTTTTTTGCGAAACAACCCCTGCTAATAGCCACTGATGGACCTCTGATCCATAATTCCCTTTTGAAGCCGTCCATTATCAAATCATTATCAATGTCAAAATCTCAAGAGGTTTTAAAATGGACTTCTTACATTCCATCTGAACTAGATGACCACTGCACTCCACTTCCACTCATGTATAGTAGCTGTCGTGATCTGGAGAGTCCGGGCTAGCCTGACTTAATCAGACCTTGGCTGGTACTTGGACAGGAGACCACCAAAGAAGTTCAGTGCTGCTCCGCTGAGGTAGGCCAATGGCGAGCCACCTCTGTCTGCAAGCCCGTAGCTATGGTGGGGCAGTTCGGGGCTCCGCCTCCTCAAATGTGAGGCACACCCCACAACGGATGCCGCCCCTCCCCCCATGACATTAAAAGGACCCTCCAGCTGATCGGCGGGCCGTGTGCTCTGCCGATCAGCTGGAGGGCCCTTTTAAATCTCGCAGGAGGTGAGGGAGAGGGGCGGCTGCCGGCTGCACGCCTTCCCTGAACTCCCAGGGGCAATTTCGCCGCTTGGAGTTCAGGGGAGGTGTGCAGCCACCCCTCTCCCTCCCTCCTTCCTTCCTCCCCCTCCCCTAAGGTAAAGTTAAAGGTTTCCCTTGCTCGAAAGCCAGTCGAATCCGACTCTAGGGTTGCGGTGCTCATCTCCGTTTCAAAGCCGAAGAGCCAGTGCTGTCCGAAGACTTCTCCACGGTCATGTGGTTGGCAAGACTAGATATTGAGGCGCATGGAACGCTGTTACCTTCCCACCGAAGTGGTACCTATTTATCTACTTGCAATTTCTTGCTTTCGAACTGCTAGGTTGGCAGGAGCTGCTGCCCCACAAAATTTCCCCATGACCCACCAACCCAAGATTTCTGTCTATGGGTTGCCTTGGAAACCCTAGGGGCTTGCCATAAGCCGGCTGTGACTTGAGAGCGCTTCCCACCACCATAGTAGCTGTGGTCCTGTGGGGAACAGAGTTTGCGCAGGCGGAATGCTTTTCATGTTTTATTGGCAGTGGTAGATCTCTGGCAGCTACAGGGTGCGGGGCCGGAAGCCAGACCTTTCCGCCTGACAGGGAAACCGTGGGCTGCCTTCGGCAAAGCAGCGTCCCAGCTTGACATAAAGTGCTGAATGCTAGAACTTGGGGGCATCCTCTCAATTCAACAGGCAGTGGATTTGGGACAGACAACAGGAAGTACTTCTTAGCCACGATGTGTGGTTAGTTTATGGAACGAGGGTTGCCAACCTCCAGGAGAGGCCAGGAGAGCTCCCGGTATTACAACTGATGTCCGGATTACGGGCCTCAAGGGTTGCCAGGTCTTGACTTGGCTGGAGCGGGGGACTTGGGGGGGGAGTTGCATGATACCCCTGACATGATGACATCACGCAGAAAGTGACATCATCGTGCTGGGGACACTCTGGTATTTGGGCAAACTCTATGGTTTTTTTCAGCCTCAAAACCATAGAGTTTACCCAAACAGCAGAGCGTCCCTGAATGGAAACCCCCCAGCATGATGATGTCACTTCTGGGTAACATCATCACATGCACGACATCCCCATTTTGGGGGTGGGGCTTCCCCCACTGGCCAACTGGCCAGCAGCGGGCTGAAGTCCCCAAAATCGGGGTTTCCCCCGGCGCTGCCAGGGGAATGGCAACACTACAGACATCAGTTCCCCTGGACAAAAGGACTGCTTTGGAGGGTGGACTTTGTGACATTATACTCTTTTGACGTCCCTCCCTTCCCCAAATCCCACAGTCCCCGGGTACCTCCCCCCAAAGCTCCAGGAATTTCCCACCCTGGAGTTGGCAACCCTATATGGAACTCCCCGCCACAAGATGCACAGGTGGATGCTTGATGGGAGATGATTTCGAAAGGGGTTGAGTCCAAATCCATGGAGAATGGATCCATCAGTGGTTTTCGGCTGTAATGACTAAATGGATCCTTCGTTTTCAGAGGCAGTGTACCGGTGAATGCCAGTTGCTGGTGCGTGGTGGGGAGGGGCAACCGTGGAGGCCAGCCTTGGTCTCTTTGCTTTGCTTATAGGTTTCCTGGGGATAGCTGTCGGTCTACTGTGGGAAACAAGATGCTGGCCTAGAACGTGCCGTTGGTTGGATCCAGCAAGGCTCTTCCTATATTCTTAAAAAAAAAACCCCACAAAAGGCTCAACATCTGACAATAGCACTACAGATAAGATCAGAATTTCAACACCCAATCCATATGCAAAAGAACCTCCTCAGGAAAGCTCCTCCATAATGACGCAGCCCTACCCCACCTTCCGAGGTAGATATAAATTACCTGCCTACCATTTTTCTTCTCACCTCGACACAGAGAGTACTCCATCTTTCTGTGTTATACCTCTGAGGAGGCCAGTCACAGCTGCTGGCGAAACGTGAGGTCCTACAATGCCATACAGCCTGGAAAATCTACAACAGCTGCAACAGCTACGAAAGGTTCATAGTTCTTCCACATCAGGAAAAGGCCATGGGCTACCTGGGTGGATCATGTCACTGCTTAAGACTGTATTGTAGACTATTATTTCAGAAGGTACCTATGCTGATCTGCAGTAGATTTCAGTCCAGTAATAACTTAGGGATCAACAAGATTTTCAGGGAATGAGCATTCAAGAGGCCAAGCTCCCTTCGTCAGATACAAGTAGGAAGGGAGATATCGGAGTCCTTATATCCCAGTCAGAAGGTGGGAGGCATGTTGCAAAGAAGGAACTCAGGATGTAGAGTTGAATTTAGCTACTGTAGACGAGAGGAGACTGTAGCCTGCAAGTGTACATCATTACCTCCAGCGGCTCCTAAAAAGACCCCCGGTTCCCACTCACTGTACATATTCCCGAACAACAAGTTCTTTCAGGGTTACCGCTTTTCTCGGTCCTTTCTTGGCTTTCCTCTCTTCCAGTTTCTCTTGTAAGGACACGAAGTCCTTGCCCAGGTCGTACGCCAAGGAGATCATCGCTTCCAGCAGAGGCATGAAATACCTGTGGTTGGGATGGTTCTGAAGGCGCAGTAAAGCTCTCTCTCCAAATTCGTAGGCGCTTCTGGAATCGTCTAGGTCTTTGTGGCAGATCAGTATGGCGCAAAGGGTCGGGACCAGAAGAATCGGCCTGTGCTTGATTAGCTTTTCCTGCAGGGGCACGACTTGCAGGAATATTTCCAGACTTTTGGGGTACTGTCCTCCGCGTAGGCAACTGTAGGCTTCCTCCATTTCAGGCCTTATTAAGAAATCGATAAATATTCTCGACGTCTGGATGCATTCCATGGAATAGAGAAGCCGCAGATAATCCTGGAAGGCTAACTTCCTCTCCGTGATAATGTCTTCTGTGAAGTTCCCAGTCAAGCTCTTTTTGGGGAAGGGAACGTCTTCCATTTCATCGTAAAACGTCTTCAAAAGATCTGCGTGCAGCCTTTCAAAATCCGAGTACCGGCGCTCAATTATTGACCTGTCGCTGTCAAAACTGCCCGTTTGGATAATGATGATTTGGTATTTCTAAACAGGAAACAAACCAACAGGGGGGAAAAGAAAAGAAATTGAACATTTTCAAGCATGGCGCAAGTAGAAGGTTGGCGCTGTGGCAAACTCATGACAGCTTCTCAGGTCCGGGTTAGGCCAATCAGAATAGCTTTCTCCCCATCCTGGCATAGGGTTGCCGTTGCCAGCTCTGGGTTGGAAAATACCTGGGGAATTTGGGGGTGGATCCGGGAGAGGGTGGGTTTTGGGGAGGGGAGGGGCTTCAGTATGGTCCAATGCCATAGAGTCCACCCTTCAACACAGCCATTTTCTCCAGGGGAGCTGATCTCTGTCGGCTGGAGATCAGTTGTAAAAGCGAGAGATCTCCAGGCCCCACCTGGAGGCTGGCAACCCTATCCTGGCATGAAAGGGAATCAGTAAGGATGAAGAGCACTACTTGGCTTGGAACAGGGGAAAGTTGTGTTTACGTACTGAGGGTCATGCTTTGTGCGTAGTGGACAAAACCAGTCATTCGAGGATCATGTCCTTCCAGAGCGGATCAACCCCTGATCCCAACCACAAAGCTCTTGATTAGGGATCCTTCTTATTTCATCTCTCCAGTATACCTTGTGCAAACGTACCCCAGTCTAGTCTCCTGACGAAGGCTGTGAGACCAGAAGTTCCCAGTGGGCACATTTCTCCTCCCTTCTCAAGGGGGACCTGATACAGTCCTGCAAGGCCCATACAACAGAGTTGTTCCGCCGAGCCTATAGTTGAGGGCAGCGATGGGTTCCATCATGGATTGGGCTCCTCCTTCTCTCTGTTGTTCTTTTCCTCTCCCCTTTCCTTCTGAGTAGATTGTGTATATATTATTCCCCCCTGAGACTTTATGCCATCTTTTAATTGCATTGTTGCTTTGTATTTATTATGATTTGTATTCTATTTATTGTCATTATGTAGTTATCTTGGATTGTTGGATGTTTTGTTGGTTGTTGTCACCCGCTCTGAGCCTGGTCACAGAAGAGAGAGGGCTATAAGTCTAACAAATGAAAATGAAATGAAGAGAAATTGCCCTCTTTCTTTCGTTTTTAAAAGCCAACTATGGCCAGCGTTCCGTTCGCATCGCTTTTTTTCTTTTTTCGCTACGAAAGTTAATTTGTAAAATATGGGTTTGGAACTAACCGTGGTTAGGAGTCAAGACATGCCCAGTGGGACTTTGCTTTTCCGCCTTTTTCCTTCCCTCACATGCGTGATTTCCCCTATGGCTTTTTTTCTGGGGGAATGCGGCAGAATGGAATTCCGGAACCTCTTTGACAAAATTCTTTTAAAAACGTTTAAAAGTTTGTGAGTTGTCAGTATACATTTTGAAGACCATTTCCCTCTTGAGAGTACCGGCACCTCTTTTTCAAAACAAAAACAAAAACAAAAAAACCCGCCCCCCTTTCTTTTGTTTTCACAGCTAACTATGGCTAGTGTTATGTATACGTCAAAGGGTTTTGGGTTCCCCCCCCTAACTATGGTTATCTCAAACAACATTTTGCAGACTACAGAGTGGACCTAACCATGGCTAATGAAAACACTGATGCCGGTGGTATGCTAACCGCATTGTATGCTAATTACATTGTTATCGCAGCTTTCCCCCTATGAGCTCAGGATAGCATATATGGTTCCCCCCAGTTTTTTTCCCCCTAAACAATTTTTATTCTTTTTCAAAAGGAATACAGAATTTAACATTATAATACACAAATATAGGTTGCTTCACTTAGAGAAGAAAAAAAAAAGAATACTATAGGTTTCTATCTCATATATGGTTATCTCAAACAACAATTTGCAGACTACAGGGTGGAGCTAACCCTGGCTAATGAAAACACTGATGCTGGTGGTACGCTAACCGCATTGTATGCTAATTACACTGTTATCGCAGCTTTCCCCCTATGAGCTCAGGATAGCATATATGGTTCCCCCCAATTCAATAACACTAGGAGGTAAACAAGGCTGAGAGAGATTGACCGGCCCAATGTCATGGCTGAGCAGGGTTCTGGATCTTTCTGCTCCAACACTCTAAACATTACCTCAGACTACCTCTTGATTAGTTAGTTGACTCTGGAAACAAAATGGAGGACAGAATTCCGTGATTAGGCGATAGGCCGAGGCTGTTCGGTATTGTTCCACGTTCCCACATGAGCTTACCACATATTTAGAGAAGGTGTTCTCTACAATTCTGGCAGATGAGATTTCGAAAAGTACTTTGACTGCTCGGAAGCTGCGTTTCTCGTTCCTCCAATATTCCTGAAGCTGTTTTGTCGTCATGGAAGAGCTGGGACTTGGGGAGTTCTTCGGACTTTTGCGAGCACCTGAAATAATATAATCAAGTGTGTCCTGGAGCACAAACCATAACTCAGGTGCCCAGTACCATCTACTCACCTGTAGTAGCTCTCCAAGAGGCTTTTGTTTCCTGATTTAGCCTAAAAAGCCAGAGATGGAACTCAGTATCTTACATATCTGAAGTAGGAGGTGCTCTGCTGTTGGGCCGCAGAGGAGCTGGTCGGCCAGTGTTTGAGACAGGTGGCTGGCCTAGATGGACCACTGGTCTACTTCAGCAGGGCTCTTCTTAGGGTCCTGTGTTCTTATGAGATCCAGTTAGACTGTCCTTATTCCCATCAATCCCCCCCCCCTCCGCCCAAGTACAGGAACATGTGAAGATTGTTAGCCAATGTACCGTTTATTGACCATCACTCTGAAAGTTCCACACACTTTTGATATTGTTAAATAGTGGGTTCCATGGATGAGCAGGCTCGAGTCTAGAGATCAGCTCAACTTTATTTGTGATTTCAGCAAGAGCAAGGCAAGATAGAGCCTCAGCTCTGTTAAACAGCAGGCAATTGCCACACCCAAACACACCCCACTTCCAGTGATAGGCTATTTACATAACATTACTACTAGATTGGTTACTTTCAGAATCCTGGCAGGCTATTGTTCTTGTGCTCCCAGCTCAGCCAGTCTTTGGGGTGATTCAATCAGGAATGATTCAATCCCAATACATAACAGATATTCTCCGTTACCTTCCTAGAACTCTCTTTAAAATAGGGCTGATACATTTACATTCTCTTCCCTTCCCAAAGCTAGACACTCAGGTTGCCTTCCTTCATAGAAATGAGGCCCAGCAGCTTTTGGTGTCTCAGGCCCACCTCTCCAGCCCAGTTGTGTGGAGAAAGTCTGGGCCTTCTTTCTTCCCGCTCTCCCATGAGTCGATCCTCCTCTCTTGGACCTACTTCCTCCTTTAAACCCCACGCCATTGCAAAGAGGTGCCATACCCATATCAAGCCCCTCTCTCTTCTCACATTCTCACTGTATCTGGAGAAGTGAGCAGCGACTCACAAAAGCTCATCCCCTGCCACAAAATTTTGTTAGTCTTTAAGGTACTTCTGGACTCTTGCTCTGCTCTACTGCTACAGACAAACACGGCTACCCATCGATCTATTTAGTACAGTGCAACTCTATTGTCTGGAGCTGCGGTGGCTCAAGTAGTGAAGACGCTGCACTGCAGGTTGTGGAAGGTCGGTAGTTCAGCAGTTTGAGACCCAAGTGTGCCGCATGACGGAGTGAGCTCCCGTCTCTAGTTCCAGCTCCTGCCAACCTAGCAGTTCGAAAGCAAGAAATTGCAAGTAGATAAATAGGTACCGCTTTGGTGGGAAGGTAACAGCGTTCCGTGCCCCTTGGTGTTTAGTCATGCCGGCCACATGACCACGGAAATGTCTTCGGACAGCGCTGGCTCTTCGGCTTTGAAACGGAGATGAGCATCGCAACCCTAGAGTCGGATTCGACTGGCTTTCGAGCAAGGGAACCTTTACATTTACCTTTACCTAACTCTATTGTCTATGTAGAAAAGCCCTCTTTATCTTTGGGCATGTTCTTTTCAAGCTGGATTGATGTTGGAGATGCATTCTATTTAAAACATTGTAAGCTTGGTGCCCGTTTACTCCCACGGGTCTTTTCTTTTTGTGAATGTAACAGAAGGGCTTTAAATAAACATGCCCAAAGATAAAGTGTTATGAAACTAGCCAGTGGATACGACTATATATTCTCTCGAAAAAGGAACCTTGAAACGAGCGTACTGATTATATCTGGAAACCACGTTGGGGACTTCTTTGACACAGTCTGGAGAACGTCTTTGACATATCATGGACTTTGGACCGTCTTGACATTTTTTTGTGATTGAAATGGACTGCTTAGAGCAGTGGTGGCGAACCTTTTAGAGACCGAGTGCCCAAACTGCAACCCAAAACCCACTTATTGATCGCAAAGTGCCAACACGGCAATTTAACCTGAATACTGAGGTTTTACTTTAGAAAAAACAACTCATACATTAACTTAAGATGATCCAAAGAAAGTAAGGAAAGCAATCCCAAACGCTTTCATTTACTTAACATTATTTGGCAGAGAATTCGACACTTTAATGATGGCCTGGGCCTGGCTGGGGCGATGGCACGCGTGCCCGCAGAGAGGGCTCTGAGTGCCACCTCTGGCACCCGTGCCATAGGTTCGCCACCACTGGCTTAGAGTATTGCTTGTTTGGGATTTCCCCCTTTGTTATAAATGCTATGAATGAAATATTCTATTGTACAGGTGTTGTGTCACTTCAGTAATTTATGTATTTCCTTCCATTTATATCCCGCCCTCCCCCGCAAAGCAGGCTGAGGGCGGGTTCCAGCCTATCATAATCTGCTGAGTGCAGATTTACATCATAAAAACAGAATAACAAAATACATACAATAAATTAAGTACAACACTAAATACTTTAAAATAAATTATACCTCAGGCAGACGCATGAGAGTGACTCATTGGGGGGAGGAGGGGAGAGGCCAGATTGAATTGGATACCCGCCGGCTCAACTGGAGCCTGGTGGAAGAGCTCCGTCTTGCAGGCCCTGCGGAACTGTAAAGCTCTCACAGGACCCTAATTCCTGATGGGAGCTCATTCCACCAGTGCGGAGCCGCCACTGAGAAGGCCCCGGCCCTAGTTGAGGCAAGTCAGATATCCCTATTACACTTGTATTTTTTGTAAAATATTTGAACCTTTATTAAGATTTTTGAAGGCTTGTTGTCAGTGTTCCCTCTAAGCTGAGTTAGTGTGAGCTAGCTCACGGTTTTTTAGCCTCTGGCTCACACATTTTTGTCCTCGCTCAGGAAGGAGGGCTCCAGAGCAGACTAATTTATGCAGTAGCCAAATTGCTAACTCACAACTTTAATGCCAGTAGCTCACAAAGTAGAATTTTTGCTCACAAGGCTCCACAGCTTAGAGGGAACATTGGTTGTTGTATTTAGATATTGAGCGTCTCTTACTCACGGTGTATCTCCCTAGTTGTTGGGTCCTACCACTGTGATTTTTTTGTCTGTTACCATTCCAGGGGGAGGGCACGATGGAGAAGGCACGTGTATGGCTGTTATTGGTGTTGCCCATTGGCAGGTTGGCACCAGCAGAAGACCTTGCTCAGATGAGCGAAACTGTCGTAAGAACACAAGAGACGCCAATGTTGGATCAGGCCAAAGGCCCATCCAGTCCAACACTCTGTGTCACACAGTGGCCAGAAATACCAGTGCCATCAGGAGGTCCACCAGTGGGACCAGGACATTAGAAGCGGTGCATAGGAAGAGATCAGACACTACAGACGTTGCTAGAAGGACAGCCTGCCCCAAACTCAAGACAACTTCATATGGTCATGCATGACCTGAATAGTAAGATGGCAGGTAATAAATCTTTACTTTGGAGGGGGGGGGAGACGTCATTGGCAAATGTATATTTTGGAGCTGGCACTTGAATATCACCCCCAAGGTGGGTTTTTCTTACTGGGTATGTCATCTGTTTTGCCTGGTATTCATGTGAAGCCATTTCCTTAGAAGTTCCTATTTTCAGCTGCCAAATGGCAGGCCGCTGAGTGCTATTTCAGTTCTGACGCCGATGGTAATTTCTATTTGAGCTGCATTAAATTTGGCGTAACTCAGGGCAACCAGAGGCAAAACCCAGCAAGGCGTATCTCCGGGCCTCACCTGTGAGCTCGCCGGTTTCTTTCTGTTCCCGGTTTGCTTGAAAGGAAGTCAGGACCTCGTACCCGTCGTCTTCGTCTGAATGGGCGGCTGCAGGAGAACCGGGCGTGACCCCCGTTGCTTCTTGTTGGTGGCTTTTTCCGGGGTAGGGCTGGCCTCCCTCCATGGCAGAGCTGTCCGCAAAGGGAACCAAGAGCACTTGCGTTAGAGCTGCCAACTCCGGCCTGGGAAATCCCTGAAGATTTGAGAATGCTGCCTAGGGAGGGCGGAGTCAGGCCCGTAGCCAGGATTCTTTTAAAATTTGGGTGGCCTTTAAATAAGTTGGGGGGGGCACCCCTTACACCCCCCCAAGGGAGCGCTCAAGGGAGCGCCACAAATAAAATAAAACATTGGAAGTCAGAGGGGCCTTGATCAATGCTCCCTCTAAGCTGTGGAGTCTTGTGAGCAAAAATTCTCCTTGGTGAGGTACTGGCATGAAAGTTGTGAGCGGGCGAATTGACTATTGCATAAATTAGTTTGCTCTGGAGCCCTCCTTCCTGAGCGAAGACAAAAATGTGTGAGCCGGAGGCTAAAAACCTGTGAGCTAGCTCACACTAACTCAGCTTAGAGGGAACACTGGCCTTGATCAATGCTCCCTCTAAGCTGTGGAGCCTTGTGAGCAAAACATTTTCCTTTGTGAGCTGCTGGCATTACAGTGGTGAGCGAGCGATGTGGCTGCTGCATCAATCGGTTTGCTCCGGAGCCCCATCCTTCCCGAGCTAAGATAAAAATGTGTGAGCCAGAGGCTAAAACACTGTGAGCTGGCTCACACTAACTCAGCTTAGACGGAACACTGGCCTTGACAGTAAATCAGGGGGGCGGGCCCCAAGATGCCCCACTGTAGCTACGGGCCTGGGCGGAGTTTGGGGCTGGGAGGGGGTCAGCATGGATCTGATGCCATAAAGTCCACTCTCCAAAGTGGCCATTTCCCGTAGGGTTGCCAACCTACAGGTGGGGGCTGGAGATCTCCTGGAATTACATCTGATCCGATTAGAAGAAGAAGAAAAAGAAGAAGAGGAGGAGGAGGAGGAAGAGGAGGAGAAGATTGGATTTATATCCCACCCTTCACTACCCGAAGGAGTCTCAGAGTGGCTTACAATCTCCTTTCCCCTCCCCACAACAGACACCCTGTGAGGAAGGTGGGGCTGAGAGAGCTCTCTCTGTCGAGGACCGCTCTTGAAGGAACAGCTCTGAGAGAACTTGTGACTGACCCAAAGTCACACCAGCAGCTGCATGTGGAGGCGCGGGGAATCAAACCCGGTTCGCCCAGATTCGAGTCTGCGCTCCTAACCACTACACCCAACTGGCTCTCTTACCCAGATGGTTCATTATTTATTTATTTACTTACTGAAAACATTTATTCCACTTTTCCTGGAGAAAACCGGCTGCTTTGGGTCGTACGGCATTATACCCTCCCTTCCTTAAACCCAACCCTCCCAGGCTCCACCCTCAAATCCCCAGGTATTTCCAAAGCCAGGATTGGTAGCCCTAAGGGGAACTGATCTCTGTAGTCTGGAAATCAGTTGGAATTCTGGGAGAGCTCCAGGCCCTGCCTGGGGGTTGGCACCTCTAAGCATGCATACTTTTGGATGTGCCTAGGTTCTGGATTTGCTTTTCTGGCTTAGAGTCTGGATCGGTTTGGTAAACTGAACGGGTGTAACTGTGTCGGATGCCTTCGAAGACTTGCCTCCCGGGAAGGGAAGAAGGAACGGAGAGCGAGGGGGAAATCTTCCGAAGAAGTAATTCTTCCAGAGGACAGTTAATATGCAGTATTGGCACCTATCAGCTCATGATAGGGAAGGGGAAGGCAAACGGTGGCCTAAATTATGACCAATTTATCTATCTGGGTACTCAAAATATTTTTAGGCTACTCTTTCCATACAAAAGGCTCGAGGCGGCTTAGAAGCGTAGGAACATGAAACGATAAAACAACGTTAATGAGCACCGATTAAAGGGGGGCAGGTCAAGTCCTTGAACGCAGCAGATAAAAAAAGGCATTCAGCGTGGTGGAAAACAAAGATCAAACAGTATGCTAAAACAATTCCGCTCCAGCTCAGAGCGGTGACTAGAGAGCAGATAAAATGTACTGTGTAAGCAGATGAAAATGGAGGGCAAAAGACAACACACGAAATGACAACAGAAGGGAAGGAGAACCCATTCCCTCACTTTCGTGATGCGTTCGCCAGCGACTATTTTGAAAAGGCCACGAGGGCACGATTGGATAATGATTTATTATATGGCTGCCCAGGACTTTTTTTGTAGAAAAAGCCCAGCAGGAACTCATTAGCATAATAGGCCACACCCAACAGCAGAAACCCATTAGCATATTAGGCCACACCATGACATCACATTTCATTAGCATATTAGGCCACACCCCCATGTTACCAGAAGTGTGGTCATCCGGCCACACCCACCTTTTGCTTCTTATTCTGTGTTTACCTTGTTTGTTGTCAAAACCCAGGGCTTTTTTTGGAGCAGGAACTCCTTTGCATGTTAGGCCACACACCCCTAATGTAGCCAATCCTAATGAGTTCCCGCTGATGGGTGTGGCCTATTATGCTAACGAGTTCCAGCGGGGCGTGGCCAACTCGGGAGCCAGCCGGAACTCCGTTCCTGTGCGTTCCTGCCCAAAAATAGCCCTGTGGCTGCCAACCTCCTGGGGATGACTGGAGATCTTCTTTGATTACAACTGGTCTCCAGGCAACAGAGATCAGTTCACATGGAGAAAATGGCTGCTTTGGAAGGCGGGCTCTGTGGCATTATACCCTAATGAAGTCACCCCCCCTCCCTAATCACCCTATGGGCCTCTGTTTCTAGGGTGGCCAGGCTGCTGGTCAGGGTCTTCTGGCATGCTGGTACGCCCATGTGCCGCGATGATGTCACCCGGAAGTGACGTCATCACACTAGGCATGTTGTCAGGGGACGCTCTAGCAATTGGCCGGAAAACTCTATGGTACCATAGAGCTTTTAGGGTGATCGCTAGAGCACCCCCCCAGGTGACGTCATCGTGCTGGGCATGTCGCCACGGTCCCACCGCGATCCTGGCACTTTGGGGGTGGGGTTCCCCCCACCAGTCAGATCTAGGTTGGCGGATCGGGGGGGGGCTATAGCAGGCAAACCCCTGCCCCGCCAGGGAACCTGGCAACCCTATCTGTTTCCTGCCTCACAGTTTGGGCACTGGGCCCAACTCTTCCTTATGGTGAGAGAGAGGGAGACAGAACCACTTACGTACCTCCCCCGGTCACATCTTTGCACCGGAAGCTGCGATAGCCAAATCACAAAACGAAATAGATTGTTTTTTTATTTTAAAAGTTGGTTATATTAACAGTTTACCTCTCCTCTCATCCATTTTATCCTCACAACAACCCTGTGTGGTGGGAAAGGCTGAGAGAGAGTCACTGGCCCAAGATCACCCAGCAAGCTCCCATGGCACAGTAGAAGAGCAGAATTTTATACCCCACTTTTCTCCACCCCAAGGAGTCTCAAAGTGGCTTACAATTGCCTTCCCGTTATTCAGGGCTATTTTTGGGCAGGAACGCACAGGAACGGAGTTCCGGCTGGCTCCTGAGTTGGCCACGCCCAGCAGGAACTTATTAGCATAACAGGCCACGCCCAACAGCAGAAACTCGTTAGGATTGGCTACATTAGGGGTGTGTGGCCCAGGGGTCATTTCGTAGAAAAAGAGCTAGGGGAACTCATTAGCATAACTTATTAGCATATGCCATACCCCCTGACATCAGGGGCCCGGCGGTGGACCTGCAAGGCCAGAGGGAGTGCGAGGAAGCCCCGCCAAGGCCCTCCCTGGCCCCAGGCAGGCAGGGGTGGGGAGAGGCGGGGAGGAAGCAACTTACCCTCCCTCTTCTCCTGCCTCCTCCTGGCTGAATGAGGGCCGGAAGCGGGGCGGCCGGAAGCAGGGGGCAGGGCTTCGTCATGTGCCCCGCCCCCCGTACCTCACCCGGGTTCCCCCGTGTTCCCCCCCAAAGTGACCTCTGGTGTGGCCTAACATGCAAAGAAGTTCCTGCTACAAATAAAGGCCAGAGTTTTGACAACAAACAGAATAAGAAGCAAAAGGTGGGTGTGGCTGGATGACCACAGTTCTGGGAACACGGAGGTGTGGCCTAATAGGCTAATGAGCTCTGGTGCCAGGGGTGTGGCTTAATATGCTAATGAGTTTCTGCTGTTGGGTGTGGCCTATTGTGCTAATGAGTTCCTGCTGGACTTTTTCTACCAAAAAAGCCCTGCCGTTATTTATTTATTAAATCATAGAATCATAGAGTTGGGAAGGGGCCATACAGACCATCAGAGGACGGCAGAAGACAGGAAGGCCTGGCGTGATCTGCCCCATGGGGTCGCAAAGAGTCAGACTCGACTGTGCGACTGAACAACAACAACAACAACATACAGGCCATCTAGTCCAACCCCCTGCCCGATGCAGGACCAGCCTAGAGTACCCCTGACAAGGGTTTGTCCAGCCTCTTCTTGAAAACTGCCAATGAAGGGGAGCTCACCACCTCCCTAGGCAGCCGATTCCACCTTTGAACCACTCTGACCATGAAAGGCTTTTCCCTAAAATTCAACTTGCTAGGCTGCCCTTCCCTGCAAGCAGGGCTCAGGGCGGCTTACATCAAGTTAACATAGCGATACTCCGTTAAACAACAACTAAAACCTACTAAAAACAATATTCTTCATACAACACAACTTCACTGTTTAAGATGGCGAAAAAATCTCTGTTCCCACCAGCTCCTTGAGTAAAGGGGTGTGGAGGGCTGGGTAGGAGGGATGAGAGCAGAAATCATTTCGGGGGGGATCGCGGGGGATCACAGTTCCCCCGGGTGAGGTACGTGGGCGGGGCACATGATGAAGCCCCGCCCCCTGCTTCCGGCCGCCCTGCTTCCGGCCCTCATTCAGCCCGGAGGAGGCAG